TGGCTGTTGGGTTTTGATGATGATGGTGAGATAAATGGTTACCTATGAGGTAGTTTGGGTGAACAGATGATGGCCTTTTGGATAGTCGAATTGGGGTGTGGGATGTTGATGATACAGTAATTTGAACCAAATTAACCTGAATTTTTTTCATAACTTTTCATTAGGCAACTGATCCTGTTTATAAGTAATTGAGAAATGTTTCGATAAGTATAGAAAGATACAAGCAACAATGCATTCAGAAGGGCAGAACCCGTACAAAAAAGCATTGTGTTCACACACTTAGTACACTTGCATAACAAGAGAAATAACATTAAGGCGGACACTAAGCAACTTTAGTAGATTCTATTAACATTGATGAAATGGTATTCAGTTTCCGAGAGGAAAAAATAATTTTACCAATAACAGCTCAAAATAACTCGACACATTGTTCCAAGGACCCAATGCGACCATAAACTCATAAGAGTTTCCACCAAGCAAGTTGCAAGGGTAACGAAATCGACATTGCCCATATCTTTATCACTTACTACATCTGCAACGATTTTGCGCAAGTTTGTCGATGGGAAAACAACCTCAAGATCCAAATAATCATCCTCGATAGTTAGGTGGATCAAATGAACTCTACATTCAGCACACCAGGATGTCCTCACATCGCTGACACATCCGGAGATGAGGTAAGAAGTGCCCTGGTGTTTAAAACAAGAAAAGGAATTTCAAAAAAAATTAACAAGCATTAACAAACACAATAACTGCAAACGAGATCGAGAAGGATGAATGACAAAAAAGTTTATTTCAATAACCTCATCGTCACCATTCTCTTGCAACAATGTAAGATCGATTGAATTCGACAAAATAGACATAGATATTGCTTCCTCATACTTCAACTTTCCAACGAAACCAGGCTCAACCATAAAATCGCTATAAATAAAACCGTTAGTAATGGCTGGCAATAGGAAAAGGAAGCGGAGTAGACTGTCGTAACGATTAGTTGGTAAACAATACTTACGGGTACCATTGCGATACATCATCCATTGTTAGAAAATTACAGCACGGAAACCCTACTCAATTTATGTTCTTGCACGTACTGTGGATGTTCAATCGGAGTATAAGAACACATTATGATCAACTATTCTAATAGAACGTACCAAATAGTTAACAATCAATTAAAGAAAAGTACATGCGGTGGTGGAAACGTGGCCGGCGACACCGCGTGGTTAGTCGAGAAGATTGGGAACGAATAAGCTAGAGCGAATCAGCGGCGGAGGTGGCAAGCGACGATGGTGGCCCGCTCTTCTCCCCACAACCGTCGTGGTTAGTCCTGACGAGTTTCCTCCGCTCTTCTTCCCACAAACGCTAGAGCGAATCAGCAGCGGAGGTGGCATGCGACGATGGTGGCCCGCTCTTCTTCCCACAACCAATGTGGTTAGTCCTGACGACTTTCCTCCTCTCTTCTTCCCACAACCGCTAGAGCGAATCAGCGGCGGAGGTGGCAGGCGACGATGGTGGCCCGGAGGAGGAGACTGCTACTGAGCGATCAGCGGTTGATTGACCAGCAGAGGCAGAGACGTGCAAGCAACGGAGGCGGAGACATGCAACGGAGGAGGAGGGCGGTTGAGTTGTAGTGTGAAGGAAAACAGAGAAGGCAGGGCATGGGGAGGGGAGAAAAAGCAGAAGATGAATCGTTTGCTAGATTTGGTAGGTAAGTAGTCTTCCAATGTTCAACTTTGCCATTATTGTTCTCTATTTTTTTTTTTTTTACAATTCATTATTGTTCTCTGTTGGTGGAATAAAGAAAGAGACAAAGGGAGGACAGCCGCCGATCTGCTCGACTAAGCCCTATTGGGCCTGGTACAAAAGGTCTGCTTAGTTTAGTTTTATGTTTTAATTTTAGAAGAACTCGTTTATAATTATAAACATAACAGTGGAAGTATATTGAATCAAAATGCTTGTTCAGCAGCAATGGTGAAAAATGCCCATGGTAATGACCAGGACGCTGGTTCGACCCTCATACCATTTCAAAATTTTCTGTTTTCAGTTACGCCTATAGAACGACGTCGTTCTCCAGACCACTTTCGATTCAGAGACGAGCACAAAACGAAGGAGTTTTTTCATGTATCGTCGTCTTCCCTGGCCCCTACGATTCTCGACATCCCAAATTCCCAATTATCCAGTTGCCGCCGTCATCACTCACCACCATAATCCGACGGCCGTCTCTCTTCTCCGACAACCCCACGTCACCATCCCACCGCCGTCTCTTTGATCCGGAAAGCCCATGTCACTATCCCAGGACCGATCCCACCAGCGTCTCTCCTCTCCGGCAACCCTACATTCTCCTTCGATTGTTACTGTGTTGTTGGAAATATGGGAATAGGGTTCTTTTCAATTCGTTTGTTACTGTGTTGTTGTTTCTTCGATTTCAACGAGGGAAGAAGAAGAATGATGCTTTTTTTTAAACAAAGAAGAAAATAAAAATTCAATCCGGAAACAATTTCAATGGGCGGACTTTTAACAAAATATGGGTACTTAAACCTACATAGGCATGAGAAAAAGGTACTTTAATAGTAAAATTAATGGTTTAAATTGTTGGGGGACTATACCGTATGTATAATTATTAATGGGTACTAATAATTATTGATTAATAATAAATTAAATTAGATTTAATAACAGGCGTTAGATTAGATCTACGGTGTAGAAATCCTGTCACATAGTATGTGTCTGACGCATACGAGTCGTATCCATATATATATGGCGACTACTTCGGTGCACTCACAAAAATGAGTGCATTCAATGCACCCAACTCAAAAAATAGTCTTAAGGTGTCAGATTTTGAATTTTAATTTGTAGAAATAGTGTAATATGATGATATAACATATGATAACAACTAATTAGTGGATTACCCTAAGCCCTAGACCTCCAATTTTGAGTTCTATCCCTAAACCCCAAATTATAAACCCTAACCCTAACCCTAAATGTCTAAACTCTAAATCCTTCAAATTAAAGTAGATCTTTAATGGTTTTTGTGCAAATTCATGTGCGTTATTGTTCATCACATCATAAGTGATGATTGACATCATTTTGACATAAATTGCATGTTTAAAATGACGGTTATGAAACGAGTGCACTGAATGCACCCAAAAAAGTGAGTGCACCGAAGACGCCACCATATATATATACATATGGTGCCTTCTACGGTAACCCGGGTGAAATCCGGGGTACCACATACCTTGAGTATGAAAATGCTATCTAGACCTCGAATTAGCAGGATTTTTGGGCATGATACTATACCCTAACCCTTAATGAGTGAACCCTAGGTCCTAATGATCTAAATCATAAACTATAAATCTTAAGATGGTGCATTGATTTTTTTGCCTATATTTGGATGAATCATAACCGTCGATTATTGTTTCTAATTAAATTGATCTTAGAGTATAAGATTTCCTAGATTTTGATACTCAAGGTATGCGGTACCCCGGATTTCACCCGGGGTACCATAGAAGGCACCATATATATATATGTGTGTGTGTGTGTGTGTGTGTGTGTGTGTGTGTGTGTGTGTTCGGGCTAGCATACGCCCAGGCGTACGTTAGACTACCGTACGCCCGTTTGAGTTTTGCTATTTAGATCTTGAATTAACCGGATTTTTGGGCATGATACTATACCCTAACCACTAATGGATAAACTCAAGTGCCTAGTTTTCTAACTCAAATCATGAGATTCGTTATCTTAAAATGAAAATCAACAATAATTTCGACGAATCAGAACCGTTGATTTTCATTTCAAGATTAAATGAATATTATACTTTGGGTTAGTGAATTGCAGACTGGGGTTCACCCATTAGGGGTTAGGGTATAGTATCATGCCCCAAACTTCGGTTAATTCACTGTCTAATTATCAAAACTCAACGGACGTACGGTAGGCTAGGGTACGTCCGGGTGTACGCTAGCCTTTGCCGTATATATATACATATATATCATATACACATACTTAATATTTGGCAGTTGTCATAACCACTCAAGAGTTAAACATTTCTTCCTTTTAGGCTCATCAATAATAAAGTTCAATATTGTTTTATATTGCATATTTGTATATGAAGTGTGTAGACCATGATATATGAAAACTTGAAAGGAAACGTCTTTTCAACCTATGATAGTTGTTAGGAGATTTATTCAATTCACACAATGACAACAATTAATTAACTTTATACTATTGACATATATTTTTATTAGATGAATACTTGTATTGACTGTAAAATAATTGTATTAGTTGCATGTATTTCTGTAATGGTTAACTATAACTATGTGTTCATCATAATGTTTTATTCATATAAATTGTGAATTGATGCATTAACCGAAAAATTTCTCACTTAATGATAATGTGATGTTATATTGGTTAGTCTGGTTAACCAATTAACCAAACCGATTAAACTTTAGTTTTGTTAATTTGGTTGTTGTATTAATTTGGACGGTTTGGTTATGATATTGTATTTCATGGTTAATAGAATTTTAGCTTGTTTGGTTTAATAATTACCATGGTAACCATTTGGCCGTAGCAAATTTAGTATTCTTGTAAGAGGTTTCCTCTCACATTATATATTTAAAAAAAATATTATTTTACGTCTAAATAAAGAATAACACCCCACTAATGGAAATTACAACAAAATACCAGGATGCAACTTTATATTCTGAGAGGGTCATGGAATTGAACGGCTGAACTGTGAACTCTGAAGTAGAGGTAGAAGGAGAAGCTGTTGAGATCGTCCTCTCTTCGTGAAGGTCGGTGCTAGATATCCTTGTGCCCTTGTTCCAGGTCGCTTGGGCCAATTGGTCCATAAATAAAACCGACCTTATAAATTGGGCCATTAATGGGTGATAGAAACTGTGGCCCAGGAAGACCGCAGCGGTGGATGTGGATCAGCGGGTCCGGCCCAATCCTTCTTAGCGCTCCCTAACTAGTCCGGCTAGCTGAAATCAAATTTGTCAGCTCCGTCGCTCTGACTCGCCGTTGTTTCCCAATCTCCGAACAGAAATAAATCCGATGGCGAGAACGGACAAGATTGACTTTAGAGAGAACGGTGGGTTCCCTGTATTCATTCTCGGCCAAAGCAAAGCATCTTCTGTAGGTAAAGTCAATGTAGCTCTTACTAGTTCAACAAGATTCCAGTGTTGGGTTTGCAGTTAGATTAGATGCATCAAAAGTCAAAACTAAACCTGCTCTACAAGGACAGGTAAGCAAATCATATTGGAGTTTGTGAAACTAGGGCATCTCGATCTCAACTAGCTACTTGGAGGTGCTAGATTCGTACGAGCACCTCCTCCTTCCTGGATGTCATTGATGGCGACAACCATCTGTTCATGAGAAGTGATGAACTTACAGCTGCAGGTAGAGGTCCAGTTGGAGCATACCATGACTATCTGTTCTGTGGGCTGGGCGAATCACGGTGTTCGTTGACTTCATTCATGACTGATTGACGGGCGTTTTTCCTCAGGCTGGGGGAAAAACAGCTACTTGACTCGACTTGGCACATGATGGAGTAATTGGTTGGGTGCATGTATTATGTCAGTTCAGTTGCCATGTTTTGCTGATTCTCGTCTTTTTTAAGGCTACTGGCGCAAGGTGTAACTAATCCTATCCTACCCTTTAATCTTAATGGCAGCTAGCCATATTTTGAGGGAGCATACAATGGTAGTGGCAAGTGGAAAGGGCAGCCAACTCATATCTTTCCGTATATTAACATGTTCTTCTAACAGAAAAAAGATAAAAGTTGTACCTCATCAACTTTATTACGAGCCATAATGTGCGCTGCTTCATTCCCCTCTTGATGAAATGAAACTCCATCGAGGCCGACCAGTCTGCTGAGTGCTGACATAGCCACCCAATCTCATCACTAACCACTCCGAGCTCTAACAAGTCTGCTGCTGGCTGTTGCAAATTTGTTCACAAGCACTTGGCAATCTAAGTCCGCACAATTCACTTGGCTATTTATGTTTACATGCTTTGGATGTAAATTGAACTAGCCAAACATCTAAGTACTCACTGATCTATAGCATGAATGTCTAACGTGCTGCGCGACCTTGATGCGCGAGATAATCTGTTCGTTCGTAGTCAAGATCCAGCTTCAGTCACATAGATGAAAGAAAGCCTTGTCTTCTAGGGAATCCATTGTTTATAGTCTTGACTTGCGAGGTTCGTTAGGTTAACCAATTTGGTCCATAACTTTAGCCCCTCCCCCTCATCAAAGGTCACCACCTTTCTTTCCTTCCTCCTGCAAAGTCATTGTGGCATCCCATCAATTATTATGACATTTTTCATAGCTTTAATCAAATTCACAGGAAAAGTAGAAGAGTGAAAATCATAGCTTTATCTGAAAAGTGTAGCTCCAATGGACATAATTACCTGTGATACCCTTGATTTGTGGCATGATTAGGCAAATGTGACATCATTACACATTTATCTCTGCAAAATTCAAGTCCTCCCACTAACTCTTTAATATATGTGTTTTCCCAACCTTCAATGATCGTTAATAATCCCCTGCTTCAAATCAATAGACAACATCTAATCCCCACCTCCTGAAAAGCACCAACAACAGGAATACTTGATTCTTCTTCCATGCCACACACAGAAAGCCATGAACAGCAGGTCAATTAAATAAATCAATATATAAAGACTGTGGAAAATATATAAAGAAAGACTAGTAGATGAAGAGATTCTTCAGGTGATGCAATACTTGTGACGTACCTAGCTTGGCTCATTTCACCCACTTGCCTTTGTTGGTTATCTCTACTGAGAGAAGCAAGGAGAGAAAACAACAAAAAGCAAAACAACCCTGTAATAATGAGTGAGCAACCGATCGAACCACATTATATGACCGTGTGGAACCGACCGAATCGGATCAAAGCACAGTTCGATCTAGTTTCGATTCGCCAATTCAAAGAAATCTGCTTTCAATGTGGTTCGATTTTGGACCAAACCAGGCCATGGCCAAGCCACTACGACCCATAATTATTGTTGATTTACCTCAGTCATCATCATCTGCAGCGAGTAGAGTAGAGTCTCAGGCTCTCAACGTAGGCCCTCCCATTCCAACCCCACTCACGTGCCAAGTACTTCCAGTCACTTAACTATGATAATAATGGATTTTCCACAGGCGTGTTCCATCCAATGTGATCTCCCACCTACATAAGCTGGAGCTAGCTTCACACCGCTGGAAAGCGACTTTAGTTGCAGAGAGAGCTTGTTTCCTTCCTTCCTGTTCCTCACTCATCATGGACCAAGAGAGGAAGAACAGCAACTCCTCCCCAAAACTTGCACTGCTGGAAGCAGAACACGAAGAACGGGATGATGAGAAGATCGACAAGTTCTTTGCAATTATCAAAAGGCTGAGAGAGGCTCGCCATGGTTCTTCAAGCAGCCTGCGTCATATGGAGGCACAAAGGGCAAAGAAGGCAAAGAAGATCCAGGCTCCATGGACTCCTTCCTTCCAGCTCGAAGATTTTGCTGGATTTGCCGGTTTGAGAACAGCTGAAACCTGCACCACCACAGTAGAGCCGATAGCTTCTTCAGAGAGAGAAGTATGTGCACAGGAAGAGAAACACGAAATAGACCTCAACCTTGCCTTGTAGAGGGGTTCAAGCAGCTGTTCTTCCATTCAGGTTTGCAATAAGAAGGTGGGATTTCGTAATGTGTGTTTTGCTTCATGTATTACGACTGTACATGTATAAGTTTCAGCTTATGCAAGCTTGGCTACTATGAGAAAACCAACTGACCTACTAAAGTAATCACTATAGCATGTTTGTAGCAGTGAGATGTGTTCTATTGTTCCTACCTAATATAACCAGTGAAAGCATCAATTTTATCTTATATTCTTTTGCAGAAATGCATGCAACTTCTCCAGCAATAACTCATGGTTATATATCTCAAAGGTGTAAGATTTATATCACAATAGCTTCTTAGCCTTATTCTTCCTGAACTATGTCAAGGGACAAGGAAAGGTAAGGTCCAAAGTAGTCTTAGACAAAGCAGAAAGATTAAGTTTGCATTGAATCATATGCAGACAAAGGCTTCATTTCATGACCTCACATGACCTTATGCAGTGAACATGCTCTCAACTCTACAAGCATCTAAAAGTTTTTTGTTCAAAATGGAATTCAACATTCAATGTGATGCATGAAATTAAAACAAGTAGGGGACGTCTTACCCAAAAATTGCATAAGCTTCGTGCTATATTGGCCTCGAGAGTCGAGACTGTTCCATGATTTCATCGAAGGATCAACATTCAACAGCTTCAAGTTAAAGCGCTTACCAGTAGTCCCCACAAGAGCATGAACCATCCTTAAAATGATGGAATCTATTGGCATCTCTTAGCACAATCTCCCGCTCAGTCACTCTAGCTATCAACTTGATAGCAGCGTGGCAATCACCACATACCCGGAGGTTTTTCATGATCCTGATAGGCATACCTTTTGGCACCTTCAAGATTCCAAATGCTACAGCCAATTTCTCGCTGTGATAACGTAAGCTATGTACCTTCTCCTCCTCCTCGACATCATGCAACACAAAGCTACCATCGGGGCTATATCCAGCTTCTATTATGACCCCATCTAATTTCTCAACCATCTTCAATATCAATGCATGCTCGGGATGAGACATGATATCTCCTCCAGTGAAGACATGAACGTTTTTCTCCACTTCAATCCAGCTACACCCAGGTGATTTCGACAATGACTGTACACGCATGTTACTTCTCAATGCCGCAACGTCTCTCCATCTACCTTGGGATGAATAAATATTTGAGAGCAGGATATGATGCCCGGAATTTTCAGGCTCAATCAGTAAAAGTTTCTTTGCGACAACTTCAGCCAGATCGAGCCTGTTATGGAGTCTACATGCGCCTAGTAAAGCACCCCAAACACAAGCATCTGCTTCCACCGACATGTCTCGAATTAAGTTCATTGCCTCATTCAGTTTTCCTGCTCGACCAAGTAGATCAACCACACAAGAATAATGTTCAGTTTTGGGATTCACCAGATACTTTGATTTCATCGACTCGAATAATTCAATTCCTTCTTTCACCCTTCCAGTATAACTACAAGCTGACAGGACCCCAATAAAGGTGACTTCATCCGGAGGTACACCTGAAGATACCATATCATAGAACACCTGCAATGCTTCCTTTCCAAGGCCATGCTGTGCATAACCAGTAATGATAGAATTCCACATAACAGTATCTTTGAACGTAAACCGATCAAATACCAGTTTACCCTTCACAAGATCGCCACACTATATACATCGTGATTAAAACTGAGCAGACATAAACATCAAAATCGAACATGGATCTCACCAGCTGTGCATGCACCTCTCTGCCATGATTTAGAATTGCCAGACTACCACAAACGGAGAGAGTACTGATCATTGACGGGAAGTTTGGTCTAATTCCTTGTAGTTGCATCAACCGAAACAGACCAAGTGCTTCCAGTTCAAAACCTTTTTCTCTCGTAGACCTTGATCATTGAACTCCATGGCACGTCATCTTTCTCTGTCATTTTATCAAATATCCATCTAGCTTCAGCCACCTGACCATCCTGTCCAAAACCCATAATCATTTCATTACAAGCAGGAGCTGATTGGACAGGCATGGCGTCAAAGAGTTCTGCAGCTTCCTTAATCCGTCCACTCCTCGTGTATCCCATCAACATTGCAGTCCATGTCACCTCATTCTTACCAGGCATTACTTCGAACAGTTTCCTAGCTAAATCCACCTTGTTATGGATTACATACCCATTAATCATCGTCGTCCAAGCAACGACATTTCTCTCAGGCATCTCATCAAATATCTCCCTTGCTTCCTTCAACCTTCCTTCAGAACACAACCCACCAATCATACTAGTCCTCGCAACGACATCCTTAACGGGCATCACATAAAACAGCTTTAAGGCTTCGTCAACACGTCCATCTTCAATCAACCCACCTATCATAACGGTCCAAGAAACAACATTCTTCACAGGCATCTGAGAAAACAAACGTTCTGCCTCCTCGATCATACCCTCCTGGACATACCCTCTGAGCATCGCAGTCCACGAAAGCACATTCCGCTCAGGCATCTTGTCGAACGCTTCCCTAGCTTCCCCAGTCATCCCATTCTTAACGTAACCGGAAATCAAGCCGTTCCAAGAAACCGTATTTCTCTCAGGCATATGATCGAACAGCTGTCGAGCCTCCCTCGGTTGGTTGTTCTGGAAGTAGCCAGCCACAATTGCATTCCAAGACACGACTGTTTTGTCCCGCAGCTGATCGAAAACCTGACGGGCTCTATCGATTTGGCCTGTACGGGCGAAATGGGATATCTGGGAATTGGATCGAGAGAAGGGCGCATTGAGAGCTGCGGAATAAGTTCGCCGAGAGATTAAGAGAAACAACATTGACGGAAGCAGAGGCAAAGGAAATCACCCAGAGAATGAAGTTCGAGAAGAGGATTTGGTGTGCAATTCGGACTTCTATGCTCGAAGAGTTAACAATATTGAATCCCCAACTGGGTAGCGAGAACGAGCAGCCGAGAGGCGGGAAGTGACGCCCAAGACGGACAACTATGAAACTGTCGGGCGTCGGCAAGGGAGGCACCTGTACATGGGCGCTGGGCCGTGCTTGGCTGGCACGGCACCGGCACGATTCGGGTCCATTTATTTCGTGCCGTGCTTGGCACGGTCCGTCAGTTTTCGTGTCGTGCCATGCAACCCGGCCCAGGCCCGGGCACGGTTTGAATCGTGTCGTGCCTATTCGTGCTCGTGTCATGCTCGTATTCGTGTTTAATGAAAAGGACGAACAAAGAGAGAATGAAAAAGAAGGTGAAAATTGGACGGAGGAAGATGGTATTAACCGATAATGTTTTAGAAAAGTAACAAATAAGGGGGAAAAGAAAATTGGAAGTATAGTGAGTGTGATTTGGCTTTGTTTAATTCTTTGTCCATTTTTACTTATGTATATATTTTTATGACACTTCTAACAACAACAAATAATTATTTTTCTACTTGTGTTTTGTAATATTTGAACTTATAATATTTTTATATTTATTTTCTATCAAATAAATATTATTTTGTGCCATATCTATTCTTATACTCAATAAAGTCTCGAAAATATTAGGCCCGACACGACCCACTTATATACCGTGCCGTGCCTGTGCTCGTGCCCGTGAAGTTTAGGCCCGGCACAGCCCATAAATTATTCATGCTCGTGCCTGACTGGCCCATTTATTTCGTGCTCGTGCTCGTGCTCGTGTTGTGCTCTAAACGTGCCGTGCCCACGTACAGGCACACCCCGCTTTCGCGTGGCATTGGGGGGTTGGTGATTTGGGCTTGGCGCCATTTCGAGCAGATCGAGTTGGCCCAATATTTGTGTCGCATGTTTTGGGCCTGAGTCATGATCATAGTTTGCTTCTGCTTCGGAATTAGTAAGGAAAGATTGAAAATTTGAAACCCAGAATTGGCGAGGAGTAGAGTGATGGGATCGACGGCGGCAGCAAGACCGCCGTATCCTAGTGCCGCCAGGATTTCCGATTCTCAGTGCTTTCCTCAGTACACCGCCTCTCTCAAGTGTAAGAACCTTCAATCCCTCTCTTCTACTTGGCTAGAGTTTTTGCCCTGTGAGTGAACTCGTCGAAGATATCGAATGTGAATCGGCTCCTTCCCGAATCCGCCTCTAGTGTTAGTTCCCTCCCTAGCTACTTGCTTGTCTGCAGGGAAGTCTCAGTCACATGCTCTGCTGTGGCTCTGATTAATGTTAAATCTCACATATGAAATTGCTTCCTTGTGCTGAATTTTGGAAAGGTTAACCATTGTTTTGATAAGGACCTTGCTCTATCTAACCTGCACGTTACTCACACCGTCACACGCAACAATGAAATTTTGTTTCTAGTAATGCTTTTTTTGGCAATTGAATGAAGGTGGAGCTTTCTGTTTCCGGTGAAACTTCAATACCTTCTTCTGCTTAGCCTTTTTGTGTGCCCTGTCGACTATGAATATGTGCATATGTCAAATGAGTTTCTCTCTACCTTCTGGAGATTTCCTTGGTTCCTAGGATCGTTCAGAGAAGGTGTATGTGCATTGGGGTATGCTCTTGATTGTTTGAGTCCCATTTGTAGGCCTGGAACAGTTTAGCACAGACAAGAGCAAGTGTCAGGAACATTTTGATATCTACAAAGAATGCAAGAAAAAGGAGGTAAAGTTCATTCTTTTTAAATGGTACTAGAAGTTTGCAACGCGCGCGTTGCCGCGCGATGGGTTATTATTTTGGACTTGTTCATTGTTGTCGGAAAAATAACTATTCTATATTACTCTTGCAGCTGAAGCATATTTGTTACATCTATAATTTTACATTGGTTCCAAGAGACATGGGCTTGCAAGGATGTATTTTACAAAGTTGTACAATATAAACAAACAGGTGTCGATCGGGTTCCCTTGCCAAAATACATGCCCTCGTCCTCATGTGTCAACTGATGTATTTTCAAAAGTCGACTGCCATGTAAGAGTCGTCGATACCCTTTTCTGCCCGAGTGGTTCTACTATGCTTCTGTACACTATTGATAAACAGGGATGATGTTGTACACTATAAACAGGTAGAGCTTGACTTAGAACTGGTTCACCTGAAAGAAAAATGGAAGTGTATGGGGGTGTCATGTATGTCAGCGCTCAGCAGGGAAGATATATTTTGCGACGTCTTACCTGGTTCGTTATTTCTTTCCTCCTAGGCGCTTGTGTTTGCAGATTCGGTTGTGTCCGAGTGCTTTTCGGGCATGAAGGTGCTCATGACATCCTCGGTTGACAACAACTCAACCGCTGGCCTGTTAGTTTAGGATGTAAGAACCATATGGATAACACATTTAAAGAGATGTGATGCATGTGTTCTTTTGCTTGCAAACTACCAGAAGAAATGTATTTTTGAACAAAGCAGTGTGGCAATACAAATACCTTTTTTATTTTTTGTCCAAGGATGGAGCTATTGTTGCATCAGAAGTATGCGTGAAGGGAACCTGTGGTCTGAAAGAGTTGGAAACAGTTGAAAAGTGTCAAAATTAGTCTAGTAAGAATAGTTAACCAAACACAATCATAGAAGTACGAAACCATTTTTCAGTTTACCCGTCTTCCAATACTTGTTGACGGATGTCCGGGTCAAGCATGCATGACTCTTTTGATCTTCCATAAGGCAATAATGCAGAGGCACACCTAAAGTCGATAGCTCAAACCGCACAGGAGACGGGGGCCTGCAATTGTATAGCATTTCCTGAAAGCGAATGTATGAGAGTAAACACTTGGTATTGGAATAAGCCAGTTTAGCTAAGAAATGTAGTGCAATGCGTACATTGACATCATAAAGATGTTCTGGGTCAACCGATGGGCTTGGTAAGTTGGCCTCCACAACTGAAGCACAATCTGTGCACTTAATTGCATACTTGAACATGTATCTTACGATTCTTCTTTGGTGAAAGATTCCAACATCAACGCGAGCTTCAAACCTGGCTGATGAGTTCCTAGTGCAAGGAATTAGATTACCAATATGTGTAACCATTGGCCTGAGTAAACATATTTTAGTTACCCTCTGCAAAATTGAAAATCTCCCGAATAAATAGTAGTAAAAAGTATCCAATGGAAAGTAATGTGTATATACAAAATTAGTTAAGAGCTTCAAATTGATTTGAAAAAATTATACTATGGGATACCGACGGTGTATGTGGCGGGAATCGCGTTTTGATCGTGGATACAACTGTCGCTTCAATTGTAGACGGCTCAACCATCTTTTGGATTGATGCCGGTCGACTTGGTGAACTATTAAGATTGGATACAAATGCAATGAATTCAAACATTAACTATATATAACTTAAAGAGACATGAATACTCTGCAAGTGTAAAAGCAAGATAAAGGATTTCTCCAATAATGTTCATAAATAAAAAGGAAAGCATTTCACAAAGAATGACTATTAGGAGCAAAGCTACATATATGGTCTAGTGGATAGCATGGTAAAAGTGAGTTGCAAATGCAGTACTGACTCATGCTTTTGTGACTTGGATTTCAGATCGACACCAAGACTCATGGTCGGGACAATCAGTTTCATCAAAGATGGAAAGTAGTTGTAATCTTTTTATTAAAAAATCTCACATACCTTGGTAGTAGGTCATAGTGGTGCAGCGAAATCAAGATGTAGGCATGGGGTGACCCGGGTTTCTCGAACTCCATACAAAAGATGACTGCGTGAAAGAGAATAAAAATCAGCATATATATGCATGGATAAGGGGGATATGAGTGTTGTAGAGGCTGCAACTAACTGGCAAGGGTTTTGCCGTAGCGAGAAAAGATCACTTGTTTCAAGGCTTGAACCTTTTCTCTAAAGATACGGGAAACAATTGTGGGTTTATCCCCGTAATGTTTGCCTGACGAGTCTGTAAAAGCTGAGGCTATCTCAGGCCATTGGAGATCGCACGCAAGTGATGAAGAGATCAGGGTTCCCACAGTAACGACATAGCTTTGTTGCATCTTCATGTACATGAATCATGGAGCCTGACCTGTCAGTATAAGTAGCCTGGTCTGGCCATCTCATATCATAAATAACAATACACCAAGCTAATACAAAGAATAGAAAAACCTCGGATGCAGTATATATAAGAAGCTCAACAAACTAAAAGAAGAATGCATAAATCAAACTCATCCGAATATGTTGTGTAAACATGATATAACATGTATAACTAAGCAGCAACCAACATGTTCACCTCTTTATACAAAAGGCAAATACAACTAAGGAAGCAACAAAACAGTACCTGAACTGTAGCAGGGGAACCTTGAAGGGTGGCGCTGGAGTTTTGACTAATGGATGGCCCGATGAGAGAGAGTGAGAAGTGGAGATTAGCTGAATCTATAGAAGTAAAAAATAAAGGAAACAAACTGAAAAATGAATATAAGGACATCATGTAACTTGTACGTATGAGATAGATATAGTTTGATTAAGGGAGCATATAGTGTACATATAATGACAATATGTAAACATAATTTCATAGTAGTGTATATAGGACGAACTGGAGCCAGGGAGAGGAAGGTATAGAGCACAAAATGGGGCTCTATTAAACCGTGTGCATCACTGGTCAACTAATTTATTCCTCTATTTGTTTTCATTTCAAGCTAGTTGTTTTTGAAGAAGACATGTATAGAAGGCAGTACAACTTATTATTAGCGTCCTCTAATAAAGACAACATGGACATGTACATCTATAATATGGGTATATAATAATTATCAATACAATAGTTGAAGAGGAGGAAGAATAATCAGTAATCACAACCTTAAGCTGAAATTGGAGGACTTATAGAGTGAGGAACACAATTAAGCAGAGAAGTGAACTGAGGTCTCATTGCAACAAAAACATCTATTTATTGACGTGAAGGAAATGAATTACCACCATGTGACCTGAATGTTTTCCCTTAGCTGTCACAATGGAAAGAAAATGTGTCAGAATGCTGGAAGGATGAGTAAGCACAATCTTAGCTAAGGGACACTTCAAAGTTGTTGTAATGATGAATCAGATAACTACCAAGTCTTCTAGCATAAATTGGGATAATCACAAAAACGAATTTAGAACGGATAGAACTATACATAACATAACAAACCTCATATGGAAAATTTTAGAACATATAATCGCAAAGAAAAAATTTCGGAACAAAGTAGAATCATACAGAACAAACCTTGCTACCTACGATGGGCAATCAATCATCATGACATTCGTCGTCTTCCCCTTCCACAACTCTCACATAGCGACAAAGTTCAGCCTACATTAAATGTAACGCCCCGATATTTGCGTTTAGATTCAACCGATCGGTTGGATTGACGATTACGTACGAAGTATTCCAACCATTAATTAGTAATAATAATAATAATAATAGCATTATTATTATTATTATTAACATGATAATCATCATCACGTTTCCTCTTCACCTTCAGCGACAATGGTTCAAGCGCTCAAAACAATGCTTGCTCGCATCTGGCGGTTCCAAGAAGACTTCACCATTTCCCGTGTGGACTACAGGCTGACCCAATTTGTTTTCTCCCTCCAAACCGATTGCCAAAAGGCGGTTGCTGGGACGCCGTGAATTTTTTAAAGTTCAAGAATGGCAACTCGCTTCCACTCGCCGGAAGTGCATAGAGACTCTCGGGCAACATGGCAATTCAAATTGGAGATTTTCGGTACTATGTTTTGCGGCGGTTTGGTTCCGATCTTTGGCTGGTCTTCGTTGTTCTGATTGCGGAATTTGGATGTTTTTATTTATTTATTTTATTTTTGAAGGATTATTCAGTAGTTTTAAGCTTTAAGTTAGGGCGATAATAGTAAACCTAGGGCGTCGTTTAGCCGTCCAGACCGTAAAAACCCTTTGGAATCTCTACCCGTCCCTTCCCTTTCAGAAGATCCACCACTCCTGAAATCAATCGGTAATTATCATGGATGATAGGGGAAGTGGGACGTTTAGTCCAAGAAGGGGTGGTTTAAGGAACGATGACTTTAGGGGCTGCGGAGGGAAATACCTTCAGGTTGTGACCATCGTGATCGGAAACCGGGAAGTTCATATCGAGAAGAAGAAAGCTGTTGGGGAAAGCAGGAAGAGTTTAATGAATGCAGGTGGTTAAAGTAAGGTCCAAGGTATTCTCCCGTCTCTTTTTCATTCACTTTATCGAGCACTGGTGATCCTTCGAAGATGTATATATTTGGTTTGGTAGGTTGGTTTTGAAGTGGGATTTGGTGATGAAATTTAAATGATATGTGGACATGGAATATAATGAGTTCCATGTGAGATTGTTGGAATAATCATATCATAGATATATGAAATATATGGGGATGGGAAAAGCATTTGTATAGGAGGGGATGGGAAAAGCATTTGAATAGGAATATTTAGGCATCCGTGTGTTGAGAGAAACCACGATTACAATGGCATGTTTTGATGATGGAGGAGATGCGCAGTGGAATTAATTTGTGGCTAATAAGGAGGTCTCTTTTATTGACGTTTATGCATGGAAGAGCAAGAATGGATGACAATTAGGAAAATCATTGTTGTTGGATCCAGGTTACTTATTTCGAGGAGGAAGTGAACCTGGTTTAGTAAGTCGTTCTTGACGTGAGATTAATAGGTGGCCATAGGAACCCTACTTGGGGTATGGTGCACGATCAAGCAAAGGGAGATGGTGTTGCAGTACATAACGGATAATGACACCAAGAT